CAGAGCTCCAAACAAGGAGCATAAGCATTATTTCTTTGTTTTTCATCAGGCTGAAGGCACCTAGAAACCTGTTGCTGTCAAGTCAATTCTGACTCATGGTCACCCCATGTGTTACAGAATAGAACTGAGCTCCCTAGGGTTTTCTTGGGTGGTGCAAACCATTTGAGCTTGGCTACTGACTGAAAGTTTGGTGGTTCGAATCCACCCATCGGCACCACGGAAGAAATGTCTGGTGATCTACTTCCATAAGATCACAGCCATACAAAACCTTACGGAGTGCAGCTCTACTCTAAAAGGTGGGGTCGCCATGATTCAGGATCATCTCAGTGGCAATGGGTAAAGGCATCCGGAGATTGTCCTTGAATTTATAAAGACTTCCTTAAACCAGCCTTGACGGAGAAATACTCTTGCATATATGTGAATGTAAGACAGAAAAATAAGACACATTTATTGGAATTTACAGTGGCGCAATAGTTAAGTGCTCAGCTCGGCTGCGAACCAAAAGGTCAGTGGTTTAAACCCACCAGTGGCGATCTTCTTCTGTGAAAATTACAGCCTAGGAAACCCTATGAGGCAATTCTACTCTGTTACATGGGGTCACTGTAAGTTGGAATCCACTCGATGGCACACAACAACAACCATTAGAGTTTAACAAAAAACAAAGGTATTTAGAATACACACACATATGCAGACACATGATGTAAATAAAGTTTTAAGTTCAATACTTTGTTTTGGGACAACTGGCATTCTTTTAAGGGGCCCTGGTGGCACAGTGGTTAAGTGCTCCGCTACTAACCTAAAGGCAGTTCGAACTCACCAGCCACTCTGTGCGAGAAGAGACCTGTCAATCTGCTTCCATAAAGATTAAAAACAAAACAAACAAACAAATAAAGCCACTGCCTTTGAGTGATTCCAACTCATAGCGACCCTATGGGACAGAGAACTGCCCCATAGGGTTTCCCAGGCTGTAATCTTTACAGAAAGGAGCCCTGGTGGCACAGTGGTTAAAGTGCTCAGCTGCTAACCAAAAGGTCGGCGCTTCAAATCCACCAGCCGCTCTGCAGGAGAAAGACGTGGCAGTCTGCCTCCGTAAAGATTACAGCCTTGGAAACCCTATGGGGCAGTTCTCCTCTGTCGTATAGGGTTGCTATAAGTTGGAATCGACTCAATGGCAACGGTTATGGAGCATTCATTTGAAAAAAGTAAATTAGTTCAATACTCACCTCATAATCCACAAAAATAAATTCTGAGAGCTTCAGTGTCAAATATGCCTAACTATAAGAACACCCCAACCATTAGGCTACTCCCTATTTTTCCAAAGAAAAAAATGAAACAAATTAAAATTACAGTGGGGAAAATTTTAATTTATGGACTTTCGGGATGGAGGTAAGATATTCAAATGTCCCTTATAATAGTCAATGTATTAATTCATATTTCAGTATTTTTATATAAAATATATTTAGAAGCATTTTTCCACTGTCAGTGTTAATAAAACAATCTTTATGAGCATCTTGGACCTTGTACTTTGTCACAACTTGAAGCAATCTATTCTCCAAAGAATGACATTCCAAAAGCACAATATTACCTAAATGGTCTGGAAAGTAGCATGTTTTAAGCCATGTATGAGTTGACAAAACCAAAAAACTCCACAGTCAATGCCCCTGGAAGCAGCAGTCAAGAAATCAAACAACATATTGCATGGGGCAAATCTGCTGCAAAAGACCTCTTTAAAGTGCTAAAAAGCAAAGATGTTACTTTGAGGACTAAGATGTGCCTGACCTAAGCTGTGGTATTTTCAATCACCTCATATGCATGGGAAAGATAGACAATGAATAAGGAAGACTGAAGAAGAATTGACACCTTTGAATTATGGTATTGGTGAAGAATACTGAATATACCATGGACTGCCGGAAGAACGAATAAGTCTGTCTTGGAAGAAGTACAGCCAGAATGCTCCTTGGAAGCAAGGATGGTGAGACTTCATCTCACGTACTTTGGACATGTTACCAGGAGGGATCAGTCCCTGGAGAAGGACATCATGCTTGGTAAAGTAGAGGGTCAGTGAAAAAGAGGAAGACCCTCAATGAGATGGATTGACACAGTGGCTGCAAAAATGAGCTGAAGCATAACAACGATCATGAGGATGGTGCAGGATCGGGCAACATTTCGTTCTATTATACACAGGGTCACTGTGAGCTGAAGCCGACTGAACAGTGCCTAGCATGATGTTGACACTGAATATTTTAAACCAAACCACAAGTAACTTTTTTTTTTCTAGTTTTTCCTTGTGGTAAATATATAGGTAACAAAACATTTGTCATTTCAACAGTTTGCACGTGTACAATTCAGTGACATTAATTATGTTCATTGTGTTGTTCAACCAGCACGCTTTCCCAAATTATACTGTCACCCTTAATAGACGCTCAGTGTCCCCTAAGCATGTAACTTTTAAAGAAAGCAAGGACAGTGTTTTAAAAATCCATCTTGTGGATATATTTGCTGACCACTGTAACATCTTATCATTCCACATCTCTGTTCTGTAAGTTATTTTTAAAAGACTTGTTTGAAATAATATATAGCATTTTCAACGGGAATAATTACTAGATCTATCTTTTGTTAAATAATTGGTTCTGTGCAAAACTAGAATTGATTAAGGACATTTCATGGCTAGGATATATTGCTTCATTAGTACTTCATTGCTCAAGATTGAAGTAATTAAGGAAATATGCAAAATATGACAGCATGTAAAATTTTAATTATCAGGAAACTACTTCCCCCCCCCAACTCCAGGGATCATTTATTTTGTTCGTTTTGGGGGGAGGAGGAGAAGGATCATTTGTTTTGTGTGTGTTTGAGGGGGGTGGATCATACCTTTTGTTCGGGGGCACAATTTGCACCCTTGTTTGATATTTAGGCCTGTTCCGTCTAGAGACTATTTCTTTGTAATTAGTTTCTTTCTACACACTGATCCTGCAGGTCATACACAAATGTATAAAGATGAGAACTCACCTGCCATTCACAGTCTCTTGAAAAGATCTCTTTGCTTGGGGTAGAGAAATTAGAGTTGATTTCTAGAAATAGAATGAGAGTTCAGGAAATGAGGTGTTTCTCTATGGTCTGAAATTGTGGCTTTACCTGAACAGATGGGAAATTCTCCCTAACTTCTTTCCTAGCTTTCTTTCTAAATGGAGTTTCTGCTTTGCAGCCATACCTGATGTTTGCTGTGAGGGAATTCAGAATCTAGGTTGCAATCTCTTTGGATCTCTCAAGAGAAGTGAGGATGTCATTGTTGTTGTTAGTTGCTGTCAAATCAGTTCCAACTGATGGTGACCCCATCTGTGCAGAGTAGAACTGCTCCACAGAGTTTTCGAAGTTGTGACCTTTCAGAAGCAGATCACCAGGGCTTTCTTCTGAGGCACTGCTGGGTGTGTTTGAACTGCCAACCTTTGGACTAGTAGTTTAGGGCTTAACTCTTTGCACCACCCAGGAAGTCTACTTAGCAAGGCTAAATACATGGTTGGAAGTTTTAGGGTTAGATGGAAAGTAAAAAAAAGAAAAAACAGTTTGTCATGTGACTACTCTGTTTAACAGGTTGTGGCTGGGAGGATAATAGCACCCAAAGATGTCCACGGAGCCCTGGTGGCGCACTGGTTAAGAACTTGGCTTCTAACCAAAATGTCGGCAGTTTGAGTCCACCACCCGCTCCTTGGAAACCCTATGGGGCAGTTCTACTCTGTCCCGTAGGGTTGCTATGAGTCACTATTGACTCAGTGGCAAGGTTTTTTTTTTTCTTTAAAGATGTCCACGGGAGCCCTGGTGGTGCGGTGGTTAAGCGCTCAGTTTCCAACCAAAACGTCGGTGGTTCAAACCCACCAGCTGCTCTGCAGGAGAAAGATGTGATTGTGTAAAGTTTATAGCCTTGGAAACCCTATGGGGTAGTTCTGCCCTGTCCTATAGGGACGCTATGAGTTGGAATTGACTTGAAGGCAATGGGTTTGGTAAAGAAGTCCACATTCTAATCCCCAGTGAGAAAATTAAAATGAATTACAATTGGGTGAAGAGGCAATTTGAATGTATGAACTTTTGGGGATGGAAGTAAGACATTCAAATACGGTGAATCCCCAGAACCTGTGAATATGTCACCTTACATGACAAGAGATGTGGTTAAGAATCTTGAGATTGTCTCTATTTACCCAGGTGGGCCCAGTGTAATCACCAAAACACCAGTTGCCATAAGCTTAGATTGATAACAACCCTATGTGTGTCAGAGTAGAACTGTGTTCTACAGAGTTTTCAATGGCTGATTTTTCAAAAGTAAATCACCAGGCCTTTCTTCTGAGGTGCCTCTGGATGGACTCCGACCACCAACCTTTTGGTTAGCAGGCAAGCATGCTAACCCTTTGCACCAGACTCTTAAAAGTGTATAACCCTTCCTGGTGTGGATCAGAGAAAGATGTGACTATGGAAGAATGAACAGAGAGATGAAATGTTGCTGATTTTAAAGACAGAGGAGGGGCCATGAGCCAAGGAAAGAGGAGAAGCTGGAAAAGGTAAGGGAACAGATTCTCCCCTACAGCCCTGAAAGGAACGCAGCCCTGGCAACCCCTTGATTTTAGCTCAGTGAAACCCATTTTAGACTTCTGAGCCCCAGAACTGTAGAATACTAAATTTGTGTTGTTTTAAGGTACTGAGTTCGTAGCAATGGTTACAGCAGCAATAGAAAAATAATACACATGTACTACCCAAAAATTTTAAATAAATATTTAATAGTCTTCACCTATGTAAATGCTAAAGATAGGTCCTTGTCTCAGATTTTTGAAGTTTATACCTTTATCAGTATAGAGGTTTCTCAGAATGAAACTAGCATTAGCTCAGAACCATGTAGGGGAGGCTGCATACTGACCGCAGTGTGAGAACTATCATAGTGAGAATGCCGGGAAAAAGGAAAGTCAACGACAGGAAAATAGAAGGAAGTCACTTTTTCCATCACAGAATTTTAGAAGGTGAGGAAAAACACGTTCTAAGCAACATAACTCTTGATTCAACTTTAGGCGAGGGGGCAGTGGTGGCTCAATTATAGAATTCTCACCTTCCATGCCAGAGACCAGGGTTTAATTCCTGGCCAATGCATCTGTCCGTGGAGGCTTGTGTGTTGCTATGATGCTAAACAGGTTTCAGCACAGCTTCCAGACCAAGACAGAGTAAGAAGAAAGGCCTGGTGATCTACTTCCAAAAGTCACCATTGAAAATCCTATGGAGCATAGTTCTACTCTGACAGGCATGATGGCCAAAATTCAGGAGAACACAGGAAAGCTACCATCAATGCTGCTGTTTTTAAACTCTCTCAGGGTATCTGCTTACTTGGTTTTTTGTATAAAAAATAATCTTATTTTATTTCATTATAATTAATAGAGGCTATGGTTGAATGGAGAAGTCCTTAGGTGGTGTAAACGGTTAGGCCCTGAGCTACTAACCAAAAGGTGGGTGGTAGGAACCCACCCAGAGGCCCCTAAGAAGAAAGGCCTGGCAATCTACTTCTAAAAACTCAGCCATTGAAAACCCTATGGAGCACAGTTCCTAGTTAAAGCAATATTGAAAGTTCTAGCACAACAAAGATTATTTTACTACATTCTTCTTTTTTCTGTTTCATGTTCCAGCTTTCTAATCATAAATCTTTTACATGCTCAGTTTAGGGACTCATAGTGACCCTATAGGACTGAGTAGAACTGTCCCATAGTGTTTTCAAGACCGTAATCTTTTCAGAAGTAGACTGCCACATATTTCTCCCCTAGAGCTGCTGGTGGGTTCAAACAGCTGCCCTTTTGGTTAGCAGCCCAGTACTTGAACCAGTGCACCACCAGGGCTGAGTCGAAATCGACTTGGTGGCGATGTTTTTTTTCTGCTTTAGGATTAATCTTAATTCTCAATTAAATACATCATAATATGTATGATCCTTTTCATTCTACCAATTATTTTTGCCTTGAGTTATCCTGTTAATAAATTAGCGCATGGTGGCTGGATTTACTATGGGTTGAAATCAGAACTCTGTTAAAGCAGTTTTAGCTAGTCAAAAAAGGTGGGGAGGTGTGGTAGGCAGAATAATGTTCCCTGAAGATGTCTACGTCCTAATCCCCACAACCTGTGAACATGGCACCTTACATGGCAAAAGGAATTTTGCTGATGTTAAGGATCTTGAAATGGGAGATTACCCTGGATGATCCAGGTGGGCCCAGTGTCATCACAGGGTCCTTCTAAAGGGAGGCAGGGGGGTCAGAGTCAGAGAGAGATGGAAGATGCTACACTGCTGACTTTGAAGATGGTGGAGGGGGCCATGAGTCAAGGAATGTGGGTGTTACCTTCAGATTTGGAGCTGCCGGAAGTGAAGCCCGGTTTGCGGGTGCGTTTGTACATCCCTGGGGTGTTGTGACAGTTGGTGTGCGCAGGACAGACCCCAGGGCTGAGACATTCATTGACATCTAGGAGGGAAAGAAGAAAGTGGCCGTCAACTATAAAACTCAGAAACCTCAGCCAAGTGCCCTGCACCTACTGGAGCACCACTGTTACTGAGAATTGTGTCTCCAAGTTGGATGGGACAGGTGAACAAGGAATCCAAAAATAACCAAGAGAAAAAACAGAGCTAGAGAAGATGGTGGGGCTGTATCTCCACAAGTTTGCTGCACAGAAAAATAAAATCATATAGGCAGTATTTGGAGTCCCTGAGTAGTCTAACTGGTTAAGTGATCAGCTACTGATGGAAAGGTTGGTGGTTTAAACACACCCAGAGGCACCTCTGAAGACAGGCCTGGCGATCTGCTTCTGAAAGATCATAGCCTTGGAAGCTCCACGGAGCAGTTCTGCTCTGCATACATGGGGTTGCCATGAGTTGGAATCAACTCGACAGCAACTGGTTTGGTTCCATTTAGAATACTTGTTGACTACTACATAGGAATATCTTACATGCTAAACAGTGACACAGAATTCAACACACAGTCCTGATGTTTAAGCTATTTGGAAACCAAGAATAGAAAGAAAACTTAATACATGATAATGAGTATTTAACTGAATCAAGCATCAGGCTTATAGATATTATAAATATTCTCATTAAAGTGAAGAAAATAAAAAAGATAGACACTGCTGCTGTCTCGTAATGTTTAGAAATTCTGTAAGCAATGCAGTAAGACAAGAAAAATAAAATTTGTACACCTAGATAAGAAATTAAACAGCAAAATATTACTTTGGATGTAAGCTTATTTTAAGGAAAACTGAAGAGAAACAAGTGAAAAATGCTTGAAACTCATGCAGTAATATATAAGCCAGTGTACTGAGATAAACAGAGAAAAATTAAGAGGTTTTATAAACATAAAAAAATGACAAATTAGAAAATCTAAAGGAAAAGACTTCCAGAAAATATTTTACACTAAATGCTTCTATATTTGACTTTTATGAGTGTGAATTTATAGAGTGCTTCTATATATGTTAAACATCAAAAGCACAGCAATGGCATAGAAAATGATAACATGTCTGTGGGCAACCTTGAAAAGAATTTTGTAGAACTAATTTGAAGTTATCTACAAATTTCTGTGGAGGAACATATGACTTGAATATAATGAAGTCATATGCTAAGTTGCTGAACTGAAAGATTCGAAAGGTTAAACTGGCCGATTCCTCCACACTGATCAATAAGTACACCTTCCTCATGGTGGCGCCAACAGTTAAGCATTTGGCTGCTCAACTGAAAGGTTGACAGTTCAAACCCACCTGCTGGATCTGAGAGAGAAAATCCTGATGAACCGTTTCCATAAAGATAGTTGTCGTTAGGTGCCACTGAGTCAATTTTTGACTCACAGCGACCCCATGTGACGTCTGTAAAGATTACAGCCTAGAAAACCCTATGGGGCAGTTCTACTCTGTCACATGGGGTTGCTGTGAGTTTGAATCGACTCAACAGTACCTAACAATTTAACAACATGTTACTGTACAGCCTTCCCCAACCATGACTAATATTGCTTATCAATCGCAGTCCTCCTTCCCACTGAGTACTGATCAATACCATTCTCCAGGGGCAACCAGAAACAAGGCAACTTGTTAGATGAGATTAACCCAAGGTGCACTCCTGCCCTAAGAGATTTATGGCCTAAAATATTTCAGACCATTTTAATCCACAATCATTATAACTTGATTGTGAATGAAAGAAAAGAAGATATCTAATAACAATGCTTACGAACTGAGGAATTTATGAACGATTTGGGTAATTTAGGACAAATTGTGTTAATCTTAGTTTTTTTTTCTAGTTCAACCTTCTTTCTATGAAAAATTTCACCTGAAGGATTCACGGATTCCCCTCACCTACACACTACCACTTGTCTGTCAGTTTGTTTTACTGTGGTGGCTTGCATGTTGCGATGATGTTGGAAGCTATGCCACCAATATGTCAGATACCAGCAGGATCACCCATGGTGTAGACAGGTTTCAGCATAGCTTCCACACTACAACAGACTAGGAAGAAAGGCCTGGCGATCTGCTTCCAAAAGCTAGCCAATGAAAACCTTATGGATGACAACAGGAGATTGTCCCACTTGCTTGCTTTGGACACATCATCAGGAGGAGGACATCATGTTTGGTGAAGCAGAAGGCCTGTGAGGGTGTGGAAGATCCTCAGTGAGATGGATTGGCACAATAGCCACAACAATGGACTGGAATGTACTGGCAATTGTGATGATGATGCAGGACCAGTCAACATTTCATTCTGTTGTACGTCAGGTTGCATGAGTTGGAAACAACTCAATGGCAACCAACAGCAGCAGCAACTCACCTACACAAGTGGCTCTATCGCCAGTAAACTGCATTCCTCCATCAGTGGACACAAATCCGCGTCTACAGACACCAGCGTAGCTGCCCACAGTGTTGCTGCAAGTGGCCGTGGAGGGGCACAGCATGGAGTCTTGGCATTCATTCTCATCTGTGGCAGGGGAAAGACAAACAATCAATGAATCAATACCGTGGGTCACACTAACGTGAATTCCCTTAGTCATCACATTCTTGTGGTGTGGCCACCATCACCAGCCACAGTCCTATTGCTGGGAACATAGCAGCTGAGGGACCAGCTCATCCCAATTTTAAAACTGGAAGTCCTGCATTCTAGGAATCCTTACAATCCCAGGAAAATCGGGACAGTTGGTCCCTCTACAGAGCTTACATTTCCCCCATGGAGCTTACATCCTAATGTAATCTGACCCTACGAATGCCAGTAAATTTCCATTAGTCCTTAAACTCGACCAAGCCAGATTTGGCCTGCAATACATGCACAGAAAGGCCAGCTGTGACCACTAATTGACCTCAACAGAGGACGCACGCAGCAACAGGTGAATGAATCAGAAGGAAAATTAGCACCTGGACCCTATTCTGAAGCGAGAGGTCCAACAAGAACCACGTCACCTCTTGTTTTCTGGCCGCCTTCTAGAATTTTCCCTCACCAGTACGACTGTGCGGCCGCCATCTTGCTGCCCAAATTACACATAAGCCCTGCTTCCTTGTAGCTCAGGAAGCCGGATCTGAGGAACTTCCTCCTGGCTTCTCGCTCTGCACATTGCAGTAAAGTTACTTTCTCTTTCTCAAAGACCAGTGTCCAGATCATTGGCAGGTCTGAGCCTGCTGGACAAGGGCCACCTTCCCGGCTTCAGTAATAGTAATGGAGGAGACTGATAACTAGGACATTAACAAGGAATTAATGTCTGGGTACAAACAGTTAATGTGCTCAGCTGCTAACCAAAAGGTGTGCGGTTCAGGTCTACCCAGGGATGCCCCAGGCCTCGTGATCTACTTTCAAAAAAAATCAGCCATTGAAAACGCTATGGAGTGCACTTCTGCTCTGACGCACATGGGTTTGCAATGGGTCGGAATCGACCAGATGGCAACTGGTTGGTTGGCTGGTAGGGCTAGATACCAGGAAGGAAAAGAAAATAATATAAGGAGTGAGAGAGCACACAGGTAGAGATTTTAGAGCGAGGCTAGGAATGTTTTTCTGAGGTGACATTTAAAGACAAAGCATGAAAGAGCATGGGAAACACTGTGGAGAAGGTCCCAGGCAGGGGGACAGGGATATAGATAGCAATGTAGAACACAAGAAGGCACTAAGGAGACTTTTCTGGTGTAGCCACATTTTCTGGGTTCTGTCTTGATCAGAGGGAGTATACTCATGTACTAGGAGTGTAAGACATATTCAACAAATGGCAATGATACAGAGTATTACAAGTATCTTTCTTCTACAAGGAAAAGGATCTGAAGGCATAAATGTTTTCTCTACCAAGATGCAGGCACATAAGTTCCCAGCTGTGCTCCCTTTGCCAACAGAAACACGTTTTCTGCCTCAGCATTTCCCACAGGCCTTGAAAGACTTCAGTTTCCTGCACGTACCTGAAGTTCAGTGTCTCATCTGCTGGGGTCCCCCCAAGCCAGTCTCTAATTAGCTCATGTGGCCATTAACCCCACCCCCCCATATTATGTGCTGATGAACTAGGCATTTGTCTCCCAAGTCCTCCCATTATATCCATAATCCCATTGCGCTATGACATCGAGGTCCTCATTTGCTTGCAGGAACATGGAGGCTTGGAGGATTCGTCTGAAGGTCTTTAGAAGTTGTTGTTGTTTTTAGCTGCCGTGAAATCAGCCCCCAACTCATAACAACCCATGCACTCAGAATGATGCTGCCCAGTCCTGTGTCATCCCCATGACTGGTTGTAGATCAGACCATTGTGATCCACAGGATTTTCACTGGCTGCTTTTCAGAAGTTGATCAACAGGCCTTTCTTCGTAGTCTGTCTTAGCCTGGAAGCTTCACTGAAACCTGTTCAACATGCAAGCCTCCACTGACAGACGGGTAGTGGCTGTACATGAGGTGCACTGGGCAGGAACTAAACTTTGACCTCCTCTACAGAAGGCGAGAATTCTGCCACTGGACAACCACTACCCCCCTTTAGAGATCTGAAGGTATTAAGTATATGGCTGCTTATATATATATACAGCATTTACGTATTATGTGGAAGAAGGTTTTTTAGATATCTAGTCTGCTCCTTGGCTCAGACTCAAGATATACAGATAAGGACATATTCACTCTGAAGTTGAGTGAAATGGATTCATGCCCCAGGAGAATGGCAGTGTCTATTCACGGTGACCACCACTCGTCTGTCAGTTTGTCATACTGTGATGGTGTAAAAACAGTGTGGGGGCATTGTCTGACCCCCTCTAACTTCACAAGGGGGAAGGAGAATCAAGATCAACAGCCCAAGGCTGATTCCTATGAGGTGGAGACCAGGCACACCTTCTCTCCACCTTCGTTACCAATTCTGATACAAACCATATCTCCCACGGCACTCTACTTCTCTGCTGGGTTCGATAATTCATTTCAATGGCTACATGGAACTCACAGACCATACTCACGATTATAGGGTTTATTAGGGAAGTAACAGCTTACAACTCAGGCTCAGGAACACTCAAGTATACAGTTCTTCCATCAGGACACCCTCTTCCGTGCCGTGCTCCTGAGCATGCCTCTCCCTGGCCCTAGGCCTCTGCCCAAAGGCACTCGGCTTCTTAACGCAGGGATCCCTGGTCCAAAGGATGCACTGGCTCCTGGCTGTTCTTTCTCGATGGTGCTGTGATTCTTTCTTTCCCGCCACTGGAGTGGCTCATTTCAAGCCCAATAGGATGACAAAACTAACCAATCACCCTTGGTGGGCTACAATTACCATATCTGCACAGTTGTGCCCAATCACTTGGGTGGGAGTTACAAGACCATGGCTAGAAAGGCCACACAAAAACAATCCATCACACCATAGGTGTCTTGTATGTTGCTGGGATGCTAAAGCTATGCCACCAGTATTTCAAATACCAGTGGGGTCAACCATGGTGGACAGGTTTCAGCAGAGCATCTAGACTAAGACAAACTGGGAAAAAGGACCTGGTGGTCTACGTCTGAAAAAATTGGCCCATGTAAAACTTATGGATAACAGCAGAACACTGTCTGATATAGTGCCAGAAGATGAGCCCCTAAGGTTGGAAGGCACTCAAAATATGACTGGGGAAGAACTGCTTCCTCAAAGTAGGGTCAACCTTAATGATGTGGATAGAATAACATCTTCGGGACATTCATTTGCTGATGTGGCACAAACAAAATGAGAAGAAACACCTGTAAACATCCATTAATAATTAGAGGGTGGGATGTAGGAAATACGAATGTAGGAAAATTGGAAGTTGTCAAAAATGAAATGGAATGCTTGAAGATAGATGTCGTAAGCATTAGTGGGCTGAAATGGACCGGTCTTGGCTCTTATGAATCAGACAATCACATGGTTTACTATGCCGGGAATAACAAATTGAAAAGGAACAATGTCACATTCATTGTCACAAAGAACATTTGAAGATCTATCCTGAAGTACAATGCTGTCAGTGATACGATAATATCCATACCCCTACAAGGAAGACCAGTTAATACAACCATTATTCAAATTTACACGAACCACTAATGCCAAAAATAAGAAAATTGAAGATTTTTACCAACTTCTGCAGTCTGAAATTGATGAAACATGCAATCAAGATGCATTGATAATTACTGGTGATTGGAATGTGAAAGTTGGAAACGAAGGATCAGTAGTTGGAAAATATGGCCTTGGTGGTAGAAAAGGGGTTGCCGGGGATACTGCGTAGTTTAAAGTCATGAAAGGTATGCATCAGGGTTATATCCTTTTACCATACTTATTCAATCTGAATGCTGAGCAAATAATCTGAGAAGCTGGATTATATGAAGAAGAACGCGGCATCGGGATTGGAGGAAGACTCATTAACAACCTGCTATATGCAGATGACACAACCTTATTTGCTTAAAGAGAAGAGGACTCAGAGCACTTACTGATGAAGATCTAAGACTATGACCTTCAGTATGGATTACACCTTAACATATAGAAAGACCCCAGATGAGTTT